AAAGTGCCAGTTTGCGGTGGGCCAACTACCCGACCCGGTAAAAAAGGAAAGTTATAGAAACACAAACAAACATGCCTTATAGTGTTTGTTCGTGGCCTATATCCTGACCCAGGGTGAGAAAGGCAATGATGAAGATGAGATGTGTTGCTAGAGGGTAACACACAAAGAAAACAAGGAAGAGGAAGAGAAAGATGTAGGAAGAGAAATATGGACGATAGACGTTTGAGAGGAAAGGACCATGACCAGAGCATCTGCTAACCGTCCACGCTTTCAAGTTAAAAGACTATATGTGAGGCAGCGTTGTGGAATCAGGCTCTCGTCAAAATAATCAAAATGAAGAAACTTGCATCTTTCTGCAGGTTTATACATTTTTATCACATTTTTGTTTTTTGGCTCAACACCTTTCATGCCTATTAAAGAACTCATTTCTGTGGAAATTTTTCTGAAAAACGTCGATTAAAGGCACAAAAAAATGTACATTTTCAGTTCCCACAGACTCTTAAGCTAAGGAAATAACTAATCTTTGGCGGCCATTTTCACACTAATTTTACCTCTGAAAACAGGTGACCTCAACCTCCTTCTTTCGCAAATATCTCGACTTGTATTCAAGATAAATGGATACCTTTTTAAATCAAAATAAAGACAATTGAACAAGTTTAAGATGATACCAATAACTCTACATGTCAAAAATTTACGAGAGCCTGATTCCACCACACTGCCTCACATATATCTTTCTTTTAAAAAAAATACAAAAAATGAAAGAAACAAACAAACAAAGCCCCCCCCAGTCTCCACTTGTATTTATTTGACATTTAATACAATAGCGCAGTTTAGATTTAAAACAAACAATTAATTTTATCGTGGAGCATTAATGTTGATAATAAATCGGTATAAATCAAAACTGATGTGACCACGGGATAAATTAGGTTACATACTTGACAGTGACCTAATTTTCTGCAGCTGACTCTGCCCTCGATATGCGGAAGTAATGTCATTGCAACGTAAACAACTGACTGTATTTATGCGCACTAGAGGCTACAATTCGCTTTTAGTTTTAGTAAGGGTTTTACGGCACTTGCAACACAATAAGGTCATATGAGTGCCAGAAGATTAGAGGTGTTACAAGAGAGTAACAAACACAAAAAGAAGGAGGGGAGATAAGGACGATAGATGTTTGATAGGAAAGAAGAAGCAAACCAGACCAGAGCACCTGACAACCATCCACACAGACAGAAACAACAGAGGGAAAGGAAAGTAAAGAAGTAGGACCGACCAGCGACACCCTCCAACCACCCACACAGACAGACAGAAACAACAGAGGGAAAGGAAAGTAACGAAGTAGGACCTTCCAGTGACACCCTCCAACCACCCGCACTATCATAATACTGTGTATCATATAACTTGATGGGGCTTGCACACAAATAAAACGCCCCAAATCTGTGTCAAACGATGAGTCAAAAACCAGGTCAAATGGACGAGTCAGATTCTCCCACTGGTCACCCCATCAATAAAACTAATATCTTTTTTTATTCTACCTACAAATAAAATTGAGCATTGAGCTAAATTCTTTTGGAATATTATGATTTGGGAATAATGCAGCTGTTAAACTTTGACTAGTGAGTGGTTGGCGGGTGCTCTGGTGTGGTTTACTGCTTTTTCTTTCCTATCAAACATCTATCGTCTTTATCTCTCCTCTTTCTTTTTGTGTTTGTTATTCTCTTGTAACACCTGTAATCTTCGGCACTAATATGACCTTATTGTGTTGCAAGTGACGTAAAACTCTTAATAAAACCCCAAAAAACTTACGACTTTCTGGTGAAACTGCATGTTTTTTACATCTGTGCAGTGTTTTTGCTCGAAACAGACTTTGGTCAATATATACGCCCATTTGACAGGCATAATATATACATTTACTATACCATTGTTATAGTTAGGAAATAATACTGTATATTACATTATTATACAGGAGAGACAAGGGAGAAAGAGGGAGAGAGGGAGAGAGAGAGAGAGAGAGAGAGAGAGAGAGAGAGAGAGAGAGAGAAAGAGAGACAGAGACAGAGAGAGCAAGAGAGTGTGTGCTTGTGTGTGTGTCTGTCTGTCTGTGTGTGTGTACACATAAACCCCTCAGTTTATCTTCCACCACC